TCAACAAAACTAAAAACAAATTTATTTTTTATTTGATTTAATTGAATTTCAAATTCTTGAAGTTGATTTTCAAAAATTTTCCAACGACCACGTAAGTCAGGAGTTAACAGTTTTCGTGATGATCGCTTCTGATTATTATCATCACCACCATCATTGTCATCACCATTGTCATCATTATTATCGTCATTATTATGATTATTATCGAATGTTTGATTGGCCATCTTGGCAGCTTGCTTTAATAAAGTTAAAAACTTTGTGTATTTCTTTGATGTAAATACTTTACGTACAGCTTCTAAAAAATGCGGATTCCTTTTAATCGAAAAGGTTTTCTCAAACAACTTGTCAAATTCATCTTTTAATGGTATGGCAAGAATTTTCACATCGACAGGTTTGAAGCCACCAAGCAAATCACTACTGTCTGTCTGTTGAGATAAGTTAACTACAACAAGATTTTGATTAAGCATATCAGCCAAATGCTGAATAACAGTAGTTTTTCCGGTGCCAGTTTCACCAACCAGCAATACTGGTTCTTTTAAATTTACACAAACAGCTATTTGTTCCATTAATCTTAAAGAATGTCCAGTATTAGCAAAAATATTTTTATGGTTGATAGCATATTTTAAATATTTTTCCTTTTTGCTATCCAGAGAAATTAATTTGGCTCTCCCTATTATGATATGGTCATTGGTAATATAAAGATTGGGAACATAAGAGTTCACATAATAATGTACTCTTTCTGCAGTAATACCCAACACATCGCCAAGTTTCAGTAAAGAATTTATCCAAGCATCAAAATCAGAAATCATGGCGCAAAAACAATCAGCAGCCTCACTGAATAAATCATTTCTAATGTCATTGATGTCATAATGCGTATATGAGATTGGTTGGTTGGTTGAAAAAATGGTTTTTGATCTCAAAAGTAGCTCACTCCTACGACACCATTTCATCAGGTCACGGATAGAAATATATCGAGCAAAATTTGAAGTGAATGAGATCAATTTTGGTGGCGGTGGTGGCGGTGATTCCGCTTGAAGATCAGATGTATCCGTTTGTGATATTATTGGTGATGCTGGTGATGAGTTTTGATAATAGGTTATTAAAGAATGAAGAATTTCGATAATATTTTGATTGTCAAGATTTTTAAAAAATTGATTCTTTATAACGTATTTGAGTTCATTTGAAGTTAAAGGATTTATGGTAATTCTTGTCCACAAGTTAGTTTCAATATTTGAATTGATAGAATTTGAAGATTTTTTCATTCCAACAGGAATCTGACTTTTAGTAGCAAATAAATGAAAATTTGGATGAGCCTTTATTTTTTCACCTCTATTGGGAATAAAAAGTTGCCTTGTTTCAAGCAGAGGTAATATAACAGAAATGACATCATTTGGAGCAAAATCAATATCTTCGATTAAAACCCAACGACCTTTAGATACAGCAGTAGTTAGAACTCCAGGTTGCCAGCGGAATGAAGCAGGCGTTGAAGTAGAAACATAAGTCCCTAGCAGGACTTTTGAATCAGTTTGATCGCCTAAATGTATTTTTATAAGATCTAAATAATATATAAATACATTTTGTTAGAGTTTCTTTTTAGGAAGAATATATATATATATATATATAACAATAACCTTCACCATGTCCAGTTAAATATGCAAGCTCTTCGACCAAAGTAGTTTTACCAGATCCGGTTACTCCTTCAAGTAAAATTGGCGAATTCATAGAAAGTGCTAAACATATTGAATGTAGATTAAGTTTTGTTGTGTCTGTTAATATAAGACGATTATTTGACAATGACGTTGATGCTGATGATGAAGATGATGAATTGGTTAGAGGGAGTAGAACACCACAAATATTGATGGTAGCTGGAGATAAATCAGAATTATTCAAGTAACTTGATGATATTGAAAATACATTATTATTATTATTTTCACAATCGAGTAGCAGAGAATGTTGCTTTTTAGCATTAGAAATCTCATCAAATAATCTCAACATTCTAACATCTATGATTTCACCATTTTCCAATTCCAAGTAATTGATGATGTGATGGGATTTAGAAGAACATGTCCAATATTCTAATGCAATCTCTTGTTGAGTAACACTCATATTATAAACAATACTTAAACATAAAATAGTCAGGTAACGAATAGTGTTATCAGAATGCAATAATAGTTGAAAAAGCGGAGTCCAATTCCACAGGTGAACAAAACTACTAACGGAAAACTTTAAAAGTCGATATATTGTCACTAATAATAATTGTAGATCTTTTATTGATGAAGAATTCTTTTTACATAAATTTACAATGTTAGATCAATAAAAATCAGAAAATGAAAAATCTTTTTTAATTGTAAAACTTTACCTCCTCATGTAAATAATTCAACCTTTCTAGTAAGGAAGGTGATGTAGAAAAAAAAGAAATAGCAATACTAATAATTTATATGTAGTATATAATTTTCAATATACTTTTAAATTGATCTAGTTCTTTCTATATACATATATATATATATAAATACATAAATATATAAAACATGTGCACTTCTTACCTCAACAGTTGGGGAGTTATTGGTAATAATTGAGTAAAAGCAAGAGCAACCTTTTCAATTCTCAAAAAGTATTCTTTATTTGAAAATAATTGGTTGCTTTTAGTGTTATTGTAATTATCAATATTTAGTTGTAATGACCAGCGTGAAACTAAATCAATTAGAATTGGTCTGAGTGATTCAGCAATTTTTAAAGTTAATTTAGGATGTAAAAGCAATTCAGATATAATATCTAATGATTTTATGAGCTCATTTGGATCCTTATTTTTAATCTCTGCCCATTTATCGGTTGCTTGTTGCAATAATTCTTGTTCTATCATTTTCTGCATTTTCTGATATAAAAAAAAATTTTGACAATTTTCTATTGATTATCAATCACGACATTCACATTTTTCGTGGAACAATCCAGTTTTTGCAAACAAAAAATTTTTATGCATCATCATTAGAGGAAAAGTTCCTTTGTGTATTCAGGTAATCTTTGTCAGCTACTTTTTCAGGCTTGTGTAAAAATATTAATTATTTCTCATCCTGACATTCTTCGTACCTGCATGCTTAATATTAATACTCTTCCGGAGGGTATACCTTACTTGAACTCCAACAGAGAAACTATCAAAATGCGAAAACTTGCCATGCTAATCACAGCTTACAGAACCTGTGCTTTCTATAAGAGATAGAACATTTGAGAGATAAAGTGATAAAAAAAAAGTGAACGTATTTTTTTATTTAGTAGAAGGCAACTTTTGACACGTAAATCGTGAATCCAAAGCATGGGTGAAATCCCAGCCCAAATGATAGTATGAACAGCTCTTGACATGTAAATTACGGATAGAGTATGAGTGAAATCTCAGTTCTGCTATGCGCGATCCATTTTTTTTTCAACCTTCATGCTTCTTAGAATGATTTGAAATGACGATATACTAGTAACGCAAATATATATATGACCTTAAAAGGTCAACCTCGAGCTCAAAGAAGTACAGTATCTACGTTTTGGTCATCAATTATTAATCGGCGAAACCAGGTATATTATTGACAAATCCTCAGGCTCTGGGTGATCCGCAATTCTTATACAATGTTTAATATTATTTGTCCGTCAAGGATGCCTCAAGTAGTATATTCATTTCTTTATTTTATCTTAGTTAGAAAAGCGGCTACTAGAAGATAGCCGGTAAAATTTTCCGAGGGAGATAAATTGTCATTAATATACAAAGCTCAAGATACAAAAGAACAATATATTATTTAGTTGAAATTGACAAACCACCTTCAAAATATTTCTTGAAGAGAAGGTTCTTTTATATTATTATACTACAATCTCGCACCTATAAAAATTCACCGTTAAATGAAAATGATCCTTAGTATTAGGCTTGCTACTTGGACAGACTTATTGTATTACATGTGGTACCAGAAGAAGCAAAACAGCTTGAGCCTTATTTTCCCTTTAAATTGACTATTAGTATAGAATCTATAACATCATCTGTAACTGATATATATATATATATCTGATGATGAAATTTTATATATTTTATTTTGCATTTTTAATTGAATTTTTTCTCATTGCACTAGCTAAATTTCCCACACCACTCTTAGTTTCAGAAAATGAATATATTTGTTTGAAAGCTTTTTTGTTTCATTCTTCAAAGTATTCATATTATAGTATCATCACTCACCGACGGCACTGCATCAACTTTCAAGGCCTTCAATGTCAATAAAAAGCTAATATCATCAAACAAAGACAAAACCTGTAAGAAATTAAAGTTGAAAAAATTACCTGTACTTATGATGAGTATAAACAAAACCAAATATATATATATATATATATGCAGGATCAGATGGATTTTCCTTTTCATACATATAAACTATCGAGAATGCCAGCAATGAATTGACCACAGTGGGATCCACATGTAGTGTTAATACATAGAGTCAGCCACACTATGTGGGGATATGTTTTACTATTATAACGGCATAGCCTGTTCACTGGCCATTACCACTATAACGTTATAACACCTATGGAAATGCACACTATGCCTTGGTCCCAACCTCTGGACTTTGAGATAAATGCACACCCTCTATACTCTGCACTGCATGGTATTTTGTCAATCCACTAATACGAAAACTCAACCCCTATTTTTCTTTAAAAAAAAATAATTGATCAGTTTAGAAGACTTTTTTTTTACTTGAGATTTATTTATTTCCTTGTACTGACATCTTTTCTTGTTTAATACAATATCATAAACATCTTAATAAACATGGTGCAAAACTTGTGTCTTTTACATGATATGTGATTGATTATACAAGGATGATACAGTATTATTATTAGCTTGGTTTTTGGCATTTTTGGCATGATCAACATTTTCACCTGGTCCATCACATTGATTAATGTTTCTGATCTTGACACATTCAAGAAAGTGTCTTTTTGTTTGCTGTTTCTTCCTTATCATATGATGCTCATGGTAGTTTTTTATTCAACGAGTTGCATAGCAAGGTAAGGAGGCAAAGCAACTCTAATATTTCCTGTACAACTCAAAATTGGCTAAATAAGATGAACAATAAAGGCAAAGTACCAATGTAGATAAAGATCTTTCAGTTTAAAACCAGGGGGATGATGTTGAAATTTGTGATATAGATTGTGATGGCAATGAAGAAACTGCTTGAATCAGGTTATTTTTATTTTTTTGATATGTATGCTTATGATGATAATGGTTATTAAAGATTAAAAATTAAAAATTACATTTGTTTTTTTGTTAAATATCATTGTTTTGGTGTGCATATTTGACATACAAACTTCGAAATTCCAAAGATATGACAATTGCAAGAAGTTATATAATATCACTATCAAATATAAGTAACTAATTATCTATAACTTCATTTAATACCACAACTATAGTAACTAATAAATAAAATAAATGACAAGATTTAACTTATTCAGGTAAGTCATCTGGTATAGTTAATTCAATCTGTTGAGTATCTAAAAAAATATTTATCACAAGAATAGATATTAATTAATAAATGTTATATATTTTAAAAATGAAAAATAATCAATGATTATAATTACCATAACTACTGATAATTGTCAGTTTATTGGAATTCACAGGTTGGGGAAGGTTTGTAAAATTTAATAACCTGCTAGTATAAACTGCATTTGGATGAATTGCTGCAGTAGCTGCAGTAATTGTTGGAGGATCAAACTTTATTTTGTCCATTTTTTCAAACTCTTTTCTAATTGATTCAGTTTCCTTACGTGTGAAAATATTAAGTAATTCATACCAAAAACCAATAATCCCATGAATTTCTTCAACAGTTGGACGTTTATCTGGATTAGCATCCATGCATCTGAATGCTAGTTCAATATAGAATTTTGGTGTGTTATTTGAAAATCCAGGTCTTACACCTTCACATATTTTCATCACAAGGTCTAAATCATGTGGTAAATTATTGAATGGTTGTTGACCAGTTGACATTACAGACATCAGAACTCCAAAACTGTATATATCTGATGCTTTTGTATATGGCTTCTTTCTTAAAACTTCTGGTGCAACATATGGTATTACTCCAAATATATCATTTTTGTTTGATGCAGATGTTTGACTAGCTGGGCATGATAATCCTAAATCTGTAATATATGAAGTATGTGCCTCATTTTGAAGAATATTACCACTATGAAGATCACGATGAATAATTTCTTTTTCATGAATAATTTTTAAACCATTAATAATAAAACAAAGGATATTAAGTTTATCTTTCCATTTTAAATTTTTAAAATTTTTTGCTAAATAATTTTGAAGGCTTCCATCTTTTTTATAATCCATTACAAATATATATTCTTTTGTAATTGGATCTTTTGTTAATCCATAAATATGAATTATATATAGATTTGGAGGAATTGCTACATAATTTTTGAACTAAAATAACAATAAATATTTAATTACAATGATAATAATCAATAGTGTTTTAAAAAATCTGAAACCAGTATTAATAAAATAATTTACCTCATTGAGAAATTCATCAGAAATATTTGATGAATTATGTAATTTTTTTAATGCTACAGTCCTATCATCATCAGCAACAGATTTATCAGTATGTTTACAACCATTTAACCAAGTAGCTTTGTATATAGTTGCAAACCCACCTTCACCTATTTTTTCAATATTTGTTAAATCATTATAAGGAATCCATTGAAGATAATATTCATTATCATCCCTTGTTGCTTTAAGTTGTGTACTTTTAATCAACTCATCTAATGTTTTATTACCACTAGTCCATCCTTCAGTTAATAACTTTGGATCACATGATTGACACCATAACCAATCAGTATTATATCTATAGCAGGTTGTACATTCACCATTCCCTTCTTCTCTTTTCTTTGAATATTCATCATTTTGAAAACTTCCATCTTCCATGCAATGCATTACAAATATATATTCTTTTGTAATTGGATCTTGTGTTAACCCATAAATATAAATTTTATCATGAAACTTCTTATAATTTTTGAACTAAAATAACAAATAGGATATTAATTACAACAATAATAATCAATAATATTTTAAAAAATCTGAAACTAGTATTACAATTTACCTCATTAAGAAATTCATCAAAAATATTCTGTGGGTTGTGTGGTTTTTTTAATACCACAGGCATATCTTTGCTAGTTCTTTTGTTACTAATATAATTTGCACTTTTATAACCATTTAACCAAGTAGCTTTGGATATAGTTGCAAATCCACCTTCATCTATCTTTTCAATATTTGTTAAATCATTATAAGGAATCCATTGAAGATAATCACTGTAATGATACTTGGTTGATTTAAGCTGTGTACTTTTAATCAACTCATCTAATGTTTCATTGCCACTTGTCCATCCTTCAGTTAATAACTTTGGATCACATGATTGACACCATGAATAATCAGTATTATATCTATTGCAGGTTGGACATTCCCCATACATTTTATCTCTTTTTTTCAAATATTCATCATTTTGAGGACTTCCATCTTCCATGTAATGCATTACAGAGATATGTTCTTTTGTAATTGGATCCTGCATTAACCCATAAATATAAACTTTATCATGAAACTTTGTATAATTTTTGAGCTAAAATAACAAATAAAACATTTAATTATAATTCAATAATATTTAAAAAATCTGAAAATAAATAAAAAAACAAAATAATTTACTTCATTAAGAAATTTATCAGAAATATTCTATGAATTATGTAGTTTTTTTAATGCCACTGGCATATCCTTGCTAATTCTTTCATTCTTATAATCTATACTTTTATAACCATTTAACCAAGTAGCTTTGGATATCATTGCAAACTCACCTTCACCTATCTTTTCAA